CGGTAATCGGGACACTGTGGTATTAGTGAAAGAATAAACAAGTAAATTAAAAAACAAAACAGAATACAGTCCAGAATAGAACCATACAATTATAGTTAACTAATCTTTGACAAAAGAGCAAAGGCAATACAATGGATCAAAGATGGTCCATACAACAAATGGTGCTGGAATAACTGGACATCCACATGCCAAAAAAAAAAAAAAATCTAGGTACTAACATTGCACCCTTTGCAAAAATTAACTCAGAAACCTAAATGGATCATAGACCTAAATGTAAAACACAAAGCTATAAAACTCTTATGAAGGTATCACAGGAGACAAAATCTAGGTGAACCTGGGTTTGACAATGAGTTTTTAGATACAATACAAAAGCATAAGCCATGAAAGAAAAACTTGATAAGCTGAACTTCACTGAAAATTTAAAACTCTGTTCTGCAAAGACACTGTAGGGAGAATAAAAAGATAAGCCAAAGACTGAGAGAAAAATCTTTGCAAAACACATATCTGATAAAGGACATATATCCAAAATACACAAATACTTAAAACTCAACAATAAGAAAACAAACAACCTAATTAAAATGTGGGCTAAAGACCTGAAGAGACACTTCACCAAAGAAGACACGCAAATGGCAAATAAACACATGAAAAGATGTTCACCATCACATGTCACTAGGGAATTACAAATTATAGCAATGAGATATGCTACACACCTGTTAGAATTGTTGGAATCCAAAACACTGACAACATCAAATGCTGGCAAGGATGTGGAGCAGTGTACACTCTCATCTATTGCTGGTGGGATGTAAAATGTGACAGCCACTTTGGAAGACAGTTTGACAGGTTGACACAAAGCTAAATATTGTCTTAACTGCATGGTCCAGCAATTGCACTCCTCAGTATCTATTCAAATGATTTGAAAACATGCCCACACAAAAACCTGCCCACGAATGTTGATAGCAGCTTTATTCATAATTGTCAGAAATTGGAAGCAATCAAGATGTCCTTTAGCAGGCATAAATTGTGATACATCCAGATAATGGAATATTATTCAGCAATAAAAAGAAATGAGCTATCAAGCCATGAAAAAACATGGAGGAAACTTAAATCCACATTGCTAAGTGAAACGAGCCTTTCTGATAAAAAGGTTATATACTGTATGATCCAACCATGTGACATTCTGAAAAAGGCAAAACTATGGAGGCAGTAAAAAAGATTGGCGATTGCCAGGGGATTGAAGGCCAGGGAAGGAGTGAATATGGGGAGCACAGGGGATATTGAAGACAGTGAAACTATTCGCTGTGACAGTATAATGTGAATACATGACATTATGCATTTGTTAAAACCCATAGAATGCACGACACCAAGAGTGAACCTTAATACAAACTATGGACTTTAGTTAATCATAATGTGTCTGTATTAGTTTATCAATGATAACAAATATACCACACTAACACAAGATAACAATAGGATAATTATTAACATCTTTCATGAGTGTGGTATATTTTAGTGTACAGGGGGAGGTGCTTAATTTTTCTGTAAACTTAAAACTGTTCTAAAAATAAAGTCTATTAACTTTTTTAAAAACTTGATTTGGTGGAGCCTTGTTTGATTAGGTGATTCCAATTGCTCACAACGCTTGCTCTGCCTTGTTCTGCAGGTATTGGCCAGTGGCTAGTTTTCTGTGAGAGGTGCTCTATTGCCTTCCATCAGGTCTAAACAATGCACACATATTTTTAAATTGTAGACAATCAATGCTATCATCTCTAATCTACAGATGAGAAAATTGAGTTTATAAACAAAAATGAGACTCAAAACAGTGGCTGAAATTCAGATCTCCTAATCATTGGAACTATAATACTTAACTGATTCAATGGTTCTCATACACATGGGGTGGGCGGTGGAGGGTGGACAGACATTTTAAAAAGAAAAACAGAGGTGGCTACATAATAAAAAAGACGTCAGCTGCTGGTCCTGTTATTCAGGCGCCTTGTGCTGTCACTGGAGACACCAGGACAGCTGACACACTTTTCACGTGGGCCACTGTTCAATCACCCACAGGTCTCACCAGTGAATCAGTCACATGGTGAAGGCCCTCACCTTCAGGATGGTCTGAGAAGCCTCTAGTCTTTTTGGTCTATCATTCTTTTGATGAATCAAAAGACTATTTATTAGATTTATTTGAATCATAGCAGCATCTACAAAGTAAGAGTATGATAGCTAAAGTGTAATCTCTCTTTCTATGGAGAGAAAGTGTGGTGATTTGAAATCTCATTTATCAGTCAGGATGGATTAAGTTATGCTGCAATAACAAACAAACATTTCAGTAGTGTAAATAGTAAAGGTTTACTTCCCCCTCCCTCCCTTCCATGGTATTCTCAGGTGGTAGGGGGGTTCTACTCCATTTTTCATCACTCAGGTTTCCAGCAGGATGGAGCCTCTCCCTCTGGAATGCTGCCAGTTGCCAGAGCAGGGAAATTGGGATGTGTGAATCACGCACCTGCTCTCAAAGTCTTCCACAAGGAGGTGACACACATCATTTCTCTTCATGCCCTTTGGCCAAGGCAAGTCCCATGGCCATACCTAGCTTCAAGGGCATGGGGATGTGAAATCCTACCAAATGCCTGGAAGAAGGGGAGGGAGGGACCAGTGAATGACAGAAATGACTGCCACTCTCCATATGCCTTTGTCAAATTTCTCTTCTAATGTTACATAAAATGGATTTATTAGAGGAAGAGGTAGAGGAGAAAGGACAAAATACAATGAAATTTAATTGGTATTCTATTCCCTTGGGCACTGCTGGAATAAGGACTAGACCAAAGCATGCTTTGCTTTAGAAAATTATGTGTTTTATTGATAATGCAAATGCATCTTAAAATGTATCTTAGGGAAAGGTTTCAAATAAGACTTGTGAGTTCTTTAGAAAAATGGTTGGTGCCCATTGATAAAAATTTCTTTAAATTTCTTTATTTTTTAAATTCTGTACTAAGACAGCATAGTTGAACCCCTGGTGAATTAGCTCATCCCGTACTAGTTCATGGCCATAATTATATCCTTAATTCCAGGTGCCTTCTGATAGAGCAATGGGCTGATCAAAAAGGAGAGACGTTGAAGAGATACGGTGAAAAACAAAAAAACAAAAATGAACCAACAAAAAACAGTATCAGGAAAACAAAACTCAGCACACATGATAACTTATGGGAGAACAAGCAAGAGCTTTAACTCCACAGGCAATAAGTCTGGATTTATCATCATTATCATTATTGTTGCTGCAGAATCACTCACTCTGATCCTTTTAAACTAGGCTTACCTAGTCATTAACACAAGGCTCCAACGGATCTCACCAAAGTCAGATATGTGAACAGATAAACTCACTTATTCAATAAATATTTATTAGGCATGTATTATTTGCTGGCACTGTTACAGGAAACAAACATGAATTCTTGCTTTAAAGGAACAAAATAAATTTTAAATCTTAGGTTAACTTAAAAGTGATGATTACAGTTATTTATTTTTAAATATCTTATAACCCAGACTTTTCCATTTGCACATTAGATAAAATGAGTGTTCCAGTCCTTGGGTAATCTTGGTGGGAGCGCTGCATCCAGTCCCCAGGGCCACTGTGCACCCCAGCAGATCAGTTCTTCCTGCCTCGAGGCACTGCAGGATCCAGAGGACCCACACAACGTGGGGACAGGAGGAGGAGATCCAGTCTCCTCGGTCCTCTGCTCACTTCCTACATCACATCAGGAAAGGTACCTGACTTCTGTGCTGAATTTCTCCATCAGTAAAATGAGGTCGATATTTCCTCCTTCTGTTCCCACTCCTCCCAGAGTGCTCCATGGATTAACTACCTGTGATCTAGAAAGTGCTCTAAGTGCCTTGTAGTAAGGGGTGGTTTCAAAGGCAATGTTCTACTTTGAAGTGCCCCTGAAGAAGCCAGGGCATGATCCTGGTGTCTGGCTTCTCAAGTGAAGGATCTACCTATCCAGCGATTCAACTTGATTTGCCCAACTCTCATTTACTGAGGGATCCGGCCTCAGGTAAGTTTGGAATGTGAAGATGAAAACAGTTCTTGTCCTCAAATATCTCGCAATTTGGTGGCAGAAGTGCCATGGGCTAACTGAACTAAGTGTGCTAGACAAGGTGTAAATTACATAGAGACTCCAGAGAGAAGAGCCTTTGAGACGGGAGCTGACTATGGATACAGCACGCTTGGAGTTTAAAAAACCTGGGCCCACCATTATGTCAAGCTCCTCACTAAGCCTGGCAAGTGTAAGTACTCATTAAATGCTTGTTGAGTGAATAAGTGAATAACTGACCTATTCCCAGCATTGGGTGAATTGGGCCATTTTTCCAAGTACAGAATGTGAATATAATGCCAGTCTCTCAGGGTTGTGGTGAGGACTCCAGGGGAAAATGCATCTTAAAATACCAAGCAAATCACTAATACCTGGCAAACGCCTGCTTGGCAAAAAGGTGATTCGAGGTGGTAGGAAGGCGGGAAGATGGACACGGGGAGGACTGCTGTGGGGTGAGGTGTTCAGGTGGTGTGAGAATGAAATGCAGAAATTTGGTATAAATAAAAAACATTGACAACTTGTCTCCTTCCACAAACCAGAATTTGCCAAGTTGTTTAAAAACAACAACAAAACTCTCACCAGGAGAGAGAGTGGTGCTAGCAGAGGACAGGGCTGAGGTGTTCAGAACCTTGAACAGCAGAGACAGGTGGGAGCAGATGGAAGAAGAGAAAACCAAGGAGCACATTGGGACAAGGCAGGGACACGGTGGCTGGAGGGGCTGGATGCAGGCTCCTGGCCCGACTGCTGGATGTTGTCTAGTCCCTGCTCCCTAAGATGCTCTTGAATGTGACCCTCCTCTGATGTCCCCTGTCTCCATCATCCAGACCAGCAGGGCCTTTATCGTTTGGCTCAGCCCCTTCCTTGAGTCTCCCTCACGTCCCACAGTCAGGGAGCTGGCAAGAACTAGGGATTCCATTTTCAGAAGCACAACCTTAGCTCTCTCTTGCCTCCAGCTGCATCCCAGGACTCTTGCTGGCATCCTCCTGCTTCCCCGTCTGCGCCCCATCAGGCGCTGGCCCAGCGCCATGTGCGTCTTTGTGGGAGGCTGCTCTGCTCAAGCTCCTGTCCTGACTTCCCCTTCCTCCCATTACCTGTCCACTCCTCTCGGCCTCCTCGCTTCCTCCTGGCACTGTGCCTGTGTGAATACCATAACCACCTCCCTCACATAGACTTGGGATTATTTTGCATGTTTCCAGTAAGGTCTAACACATGATTGGCACATGGTGCACTTCCAACATGCTTATCGCATGTTCCAATGCAGGAATGATAGTTCCCACCACCCTGCCCACAGCCTAACAATGTTACTACTTTTCCTAAGCACACAGGCCTTGGGAAGCACATCACACTTTGCAAAATGATTTTACCTCTACTGTCTCTTTTGCACACCACACAACTCTATGGAGAGCTAGAGAACTTGAAAAAATTCCATGGTTTGCCCAAAGTCAACAGACCTGAGGGTGAGATTGGAGCTCCAGTCCTGGCCTTGTAGGAGTCATTTCTCCTGCGGCCTGGCTCCCAGCTGAGAAACTGCAAAGCCTGAGTCATAACAGCCCCAAATCTCCCCCTCACCCTGCACTTTGACCATAATAACCAGGGTCCCC